TTTCCTAGATAACCTGGAGGAGTTCCATCCACCGTGATCTCAGCAGGCCTATGCAGACGTTGAACCTGGACAGCCTTGCTGGGTGTGGGCACAGCCTACTCAGAGGATCTGCTCACTGTGTCATGAGTGTTCTCCTGCCCCGAGAGTCCTTCACAGTGTTGGCCCAGAGCATAGGGCTCCCTCCTCAGTGGGACACGTGACAGCTGGCTCAGACTCCACGTTGTTGGGAAGGTGGATGAATTCTTGCTGAGCTCCTACAGTAGGCTCCTGCAGCGGCTGCTGCTCCTTCAAGATTAGCTGATTTATAAACTGTGTGTCCAGAGGTTGGAACAGGGCTTGGCCTGAGGGGAGGGCTGTTAGATGCTTGTTGTTTCTATCATGATTGTTGATCTTTTTAATCAGTCAACAGATTTCCCTGTATGTCCTCATGCCAGGAGAGGCATGGAGGACCAGGGAAAACAGAAGTTCCCTGCCCTCAAGGACCTTTGAGCCCAGAGAGAAAGCAGACCAGTAAGCCAAGTGCAGAAAGAGGTGGAGAGAGTGTGGGGGCAAAGAGGAAGCCTCCAGGTGGCCCAGGATGAGGAGACAATAATAGCACAGTGCGCCATCCTGAGGGTCCACGCATGTGTGAAGAGCCTTGTCTGAGCAGGTCAGTTCTTGGAGAATGTGGCCCTGGAGCTACATCTTTGATGACAGGGCCTGGTGAATTAGGGAAGTGAGAGAGGGACGGAGAGAGATGAGGTGTCCCAGTAGCAGCACAGAGCTGAGTGGGTGGAGCCAGCATGGCATGAGCAATCACAATGGCACAATACAGCTGTCCCCCTGCCATGGTTTTCTTTCCACAGCCTCAAGTGCCCAAGATCAACTGTGATCCAAAAATACTAAAGGAAGAATTCTAGAATAAAGCAGTTTATAAGTTTTAAATTGTTTGTGCTGTTCTGAGTAGTGTGATAAAATATGCTGTCCAGACCAGGCTGTGAATCATGCCTCTGTCCAGTGTATCTATACTGTATAGCTTACCCTCCCGTTAGTCACTATGTTATCAGATCAACAGTAACAGTATCACAGTGTAACTCTTACTTGGTAGCCTAAAGCTACATTGCAATGCCTGCCACTCACTTCACCTCATCAGGTGGCTCTTGTATATCACACATGAAGAAGTACAAGCCAGGAATAGTGGTGTGTGCCTGGAATCCCAATGACTGAAGAGGCTGAGGCAGGAAGATTGACAGCTTGAGGCACTCCTGAGTAACTTATGAAGACCCTTCACAAAAGTAAAATAAATAAATAAGTAAATAAGGGCAGGGAATGTAGCTCCGTGATAAAGGACCCCAGGTTCAATCCCCTGTATTGAAGAAGAGGAGGAGAGGGGAGGAGAATATGGAGGAGAAGAGGAAATACAGAAGAAGAGGATATTCTCAGAGAGAAGGAGATGGCACTCCCATGACTTGTATGACAGTACATCGTGTTATTAGGAGTGCTCTCTCTTATTCACTATTGTTAATCTTTCCTGGAATGAACAGCTGCATCACCTGCAGCATTAATGCAAACTCCCGAACCTGGAGTCACCCCTAGAGGGAGTCAGAGGGTAGCTGGGGCAATTTGCTCTTCCTCCTGAGCCAGGAGCCAACTCTAACAAGGAGGGGACACAGCCCAGCGGTTTCCGGAGGACCCGTCATCACCTCTGCCACACAGACATTACAAGAACCTGAGAGCCACGTTTACTTCTGAGACAAACATGGACGAGCTGGACCAGCTCTGTGGCATAAGGGTGAAAGAGCTAGTGACATGCATTTATTAAGCACCTACTGTGTACTGGCTGAGTAGCAAGCTTGGGAGGGAGGCGTAGAAAGCAGAGAATGTATCTGACACTGATCCCAGAAGCTCAGTCCCCTCCTGGTGGTCCCTGGTGCAGGGGAAGGATTTGTTCTCTGAAGCCCAGAGACTCTCATTGCAGCTCTGCTGAGCTTCCAGGTGACCTCAGCAAGTTCCTTGCCTTTGAACAACAGGACTGATTTTCTCACAGTTCTGGAAGCCCGAAGTCTGACACCAAGGCACTAGCAGAGCCGCACGCCTCCAGGAGTCCCCAGGGAAGGAGCCCCTACCTCTTCCAGCCCCTGGCCACTCCAGGTGTCCTTGGCTGGTGGCCATATCACTCTGGACTCTGCACAGAGTTATCTCCTCAGTGCCCCAAACCCCACTCCCCTTTGTCTTTTAATACATCAATCATTTTGTTTAGAGCCCAACCTAAATCCAGGGTCCTTTGTTTTCCCCTAAGATATTTAACTTAATTACATCTGAAAAGACTCGATTCCAAATATAGTCCCAGTCACAGGTACCGGGCATTGGGGCTTGGACATGTCTTTTCAGGGTGCTGCCTCCACACCCCCCTTGTGCCTCAGCTTCCTCATCTGAAGAAGGAGCTCATGTGGCCCCCGTCCCCCTGGCAGCTGGGAGGGTAGGCAGGCGTGTGCACTGACCCCCAACACAGCACCTGCCGCCACTCACCCCTCTGTGAAAGGCTGGTGTCCGGGACACGGCTTGTGCCCGTCATTCCAACTCTAAACCTGGACCTGGCCCTCGAGGCTAAGCACTGTGACTCTAGGCCACCAAAGCGGTCATTTTGATGGCATAAGAGTCATGACCTAAGTGTTGTTTCTGTTCAATCATCAGCCCCAAGCGCTGCGGGAGGAGGGGGTTTGTCACTTGATTGATCATGACAGCTGGGAGGATCAGTCACCTGAAGTTTCTACCTTGAATTCCTCAGGGCTGTCCTGCTGTCCAGCAGCTGTCCAGATGTGGGGATGCGTAGACTCCTCCTCTCCCAGAGCCCTCGGGACACAGGGAAGGGGGACAGGTGTGTGGCTTGTGGTTCCGGGTGGGACGTCCCTGTGGGCTCAAGCTGAGCTTCCGGCTAGGTCCTGGGATCCAGGTGGGACGTGGGCGAACACAGCCTGGGCCCAGCACGTGCTGAGAACCAGTAAAGCTGTTCTCTCAGATGCTTCGGGAACAGGTCGGCTTGTTGAGTTGGGAGTCAGGCTGAACTGGGGGTCACAGGGAAGGGACCCACAAAAAGATGCTGAAAATGCAAACCCTCAGGGTCCAGAGGAGGCTGAGGAGGACGGAGTTCAGGACAGTCTCACTTTCTGGTCTGGGTGACTGTGCAGGTGGTGGGGCGGCTAAGGAAGAGCAGAGCAGCCGCTCAACCCCCATTCATCCTGCTGTTCACAGAGCACCCTGGGCCGGGCATCCTGCTGAGCAACGGGCTGGTGTCAGCCTAGTTAATCCTCCCGACAGTCAGTGAATAAACCACTGCTATTAAGTCACATTTTATAGACGGAGGCCAAGGGAGTTCAGAAAGCTTGTTGAACCCTGCTCCAGCCGGCCGCCTGTCTGCCTGTTTCCCACGGGCCTTTGTCAAGATCAAATAACCTAAGGGGACATTTCCTCAAGCTCCCTCCAGGCCCAGAGCATGTTTTAAGCTGAAAGAGCCTAGGCGTGGGCCTAATTCAACAAGGACACGGCGGAGAGCAGAGCGCTTGCCAGCTCTGTGCAGCTGGGCTCAGGGTCCCCTTGGAATCTGTCTGTGTAGGGTGGCGGACGCTGGCGCATCCTGCATGCTGTTGGAGAAGGGAAAGGAGCACCACATGAAATGGAAAACCAACAGAGAGTCTCAACAGGGCCTCTGGTCAGAACGTCTAGGGGTGCTGGGTGCATGGTCTCTGCTCAGCAAAGACTTGAAGAATGGGACACAGAGATGGCAAGCCAGCCCCAGGGTCATTGCAAAAGCCACGGACAGACTTGTCCGAAGAGAAGGGGCCCCAGAGCTGGATTCGGGTGGGGAGGGTCGGCCTGTTCTTCTCAAGGTCTGCCCTCCTCCCCTTATCTGCTCCCCTGCTGTGTGCTCCTCCTAGTGTTGATCCGTGCCCCTCTGTCATGTGTCTGTTTTAGTTATTTTATTGGACCCCCTGCTTAGGAGCACAAGGAGGGGAGCATCTGTCTGATTGGGTCTTGTGTCCACAAGTGCTTCTGTCAAGCAGGAAGTCGACCTCATCAGAAGTCCTCTCCATGCTCCTTTGACCTGGCCCTGCCCCCACCTCCTCCTCGCCATCATGCCGTGCCCGGGTTGCCCAGGCCCTTCTGCACCTCCCCACCAGCCGCCCTGTTCTTTCTCGCCTGCCCCCATGCCTAGTGCCAGCCTGGAAATGAAGTCCAGATGGCTTCCAGCACAACCCATGTGGTTCCCTGGGACAGACTTTGTCTCCTCTGGAAACTGAAACATGGAACTATGGGCAGGAACTCCCAGGACAGCCACCATGCCCGAAGGATAGGGGCCCACCTCTGTCCCTCTTCCCATCCCTCACTGTGTTTTCTATTGTGAAATTCATAGAACACAGAATCGACCGCCTTCAAGTGGACGTTCAGTGGCCTGCAGTCGGCCCCAGTGCTGTGCAGCATCATCTCCATCTAGTTCCAAATAGGATCACACCCAGAGGGAACCCAGAACCCTAAGGCGGCTGCTTCCACCCCATCCCCTGCCCCAGCCCTTGGCACCCGCCATCTGTCTTCGGGTGCACTCCCCTGTGTCCACAGAGCACCGCTCCTGAGGCAGCTCCAGGCACAGAGAGCTCTAAGCCTCCTGGGGGACACCTGGCCAGGGAGCTGGGCAGGCGGCTCAGCTTTTCCCTCCTCGCTGCGGGTCTCGCCCACCCCGTCCATCAACCCACCCCCTCACTGCACCCACCCACCGTGGCCATGTGAACCGCCCTTCCAGCAGGGGCATCTAGGGCTCCTGTTTGCCTTCTGCCCAGATGGCCACTCTTTCCTGGGATGCTGCACCTTGCCCTGGAGCCTGCTCCTGGCTGACCAAGGGCAGGCACCTCCATGAGAGGATCCTGGCTACATCTCCCGAGAAGCTGGGTTCTTTCCCCGTGTCCCCTCCAGGGTCGTGGTCACCAACCGTAACGTGCGATGTGTTCTCTTTGTCTTGTCTTTGGCAGCCCCCGAAGTCTTCCAGGTGTACGTGGACGGAGGCCCCGGGTACTCCTACCCTGTCGACTGGTGGTCCCTGGGCGTCACGGCCTACGAGCTGCTGCGGGGCTGGGTGAGATGCGTGGGGACAGGTGGGACCGTGGAGCGGGACTGAGGTTCTCATGTGGGCTGGGTGGATCGTGGGCTTCTGTCCCCACAGCTTGTGTGTCACCAGAGGGCCCTGAGCATGAGAAGGGCCCTCTGCGGGCTCCTGGGCTCCTGGTCCAGCCCTGCCTTCTGCTGCCGGTTAACACCAGGTCAGAAGCCCTGCGGCTTCCAGCTCCCCTCTGAACACCCCCGAAACCCCTGAGCCTGGTTTCCTGGCGCCACCAAGGCCCTTAAGGGTAGAGACTGTGCTGTAGAGCTGGGCTGGGCGTTCGGTACACATTTTAATTTTAGTTCATTTGCATTTAATAGCTGAGACAAGTAACAGAGCTACTTGACAACCAACTAATCACCCATATTTTATTTTTTTGTTTTTTATTTTTTATTCTAATTTGTTATATATGACAGCAGAATGAATTATAGTTCAATATCACACACACAGAACACAATTTTTCCTATCTGGTTGCATACAAAGTATGTTCACACCATTTGTGTCTTCATACGTGTACTTAGGGTAGTAAATGTCCACCTCATTCCACCGTCTTTCCTACCCCTGCCCCCTCCCTCTCCCTCCCTCCCCTTTGCCCTATCTAGAGTTCCTCCATTCCTCCCATGCTCCCTGGAATTCGCCATTATGAGTCAAGATCCTCATATCAAAGAAAACATTTCAGCCTTTGGTTTTTTGGGATTGGCTTACTTCACTTATTATCTTCTCTAACTCCATCCATTTACCTGCAAATGCCATGATTTTATTCTCTTTTAATGCTGAGTAATGTTCCACTGTGTATATATACCAAAATTCCCCTATCCATTCATCCACTGAAGAGCATCTGGTTGGTTCCACAGTTTAGCTATTGTGAATTGCTCTGCTATAAACATTGATGTGGCTGTGTCCCTGTAGTATGCTGTTATAAGTCCTTTGGGTATGGACTGAGGAGAGGGACAGCTGGGTCAAATGATGGTTCCATTCCCAGCTTTCCAAGGAATCTCCATACTGCTTTCCATATTGGCTGCACTAATTTGCAGTCCTACACCAGTGTATGAGTGTGCCTTTTCCCCACATCCTCGCCAACACTTATCATTGTGTTCTTAATAGCTGCCATTCTGACTGGCACGAGCTAAAATCTTAGTTTTGATTTGCATTTCTCTAATTACTAGAGATGTTGAACATTTTTTCATATATTTACTGATTGTTTATAAATCATCTTCTAAGGAGTGTTCAGGACCTTGGCCCTTTTATTGATTGGGTATTTGTGGGGTTTTTGGTGTTTAGCTTTTTGTGTTCTTTAAATACCCTAGAGATTAGTGCTCTATCTGATGTGCAGGTGTTAAAAATTTGCTCCCAAGATGTAGGCTCTCTATTCACGTCACTGATTATTTCTTTTGCTGAGAAGGAACTTTTTAGTTTGAATCCAGCCCATGTATTGATTCTTCATTTTAATTCTTGTGCTATAGGAGTCTTATTAAGGAAGTTGGGGTCTAATCCCACATGATGGAGATTGGGGCCTACTATTTCTTCTAATAGGTGCAGGGTCTCTGGTTTAATTCCTGGTCCTCGATCCACTTTGAGTTGAACTAATCACCCATATTTTCATTCATGAAGAAAGCATTATGAATAAGACTACTTTCAAGGCCTGTCTTCCCAGAACAAGTATTGTTTGAAAATAAGGCCGCCTCACCCCTCAGGACCACAGTTTTCTCCACTGTGTGGTGGGGACACCATCCTTCAGTCCTCTCGGTAGCAGTGGTCAGAGGGTCTGGACACTGCTCGTGGGAGACCGGGCCTGGGTCTTACTGGAGCTCAGAGCTCCTGCCACCGGTTGCGGCGGTGACCTGCTCTCACAGCTGTGTGCAGCCTGTTGGCAGAAGGTGCCCCGGGGGGCCAGGCAGGGTCATTCACGGTGGGCATGCCCACAGGCAGTGGTAATGGTGTGAATGAATGATGGTGCCGTCTGTGGGCCGTGAGCATTCCAGGAGGACGAATGTCAGTCATCACCCTCTAGTTCAGGCCACTATGTTCTGCTCTTGATCTCAGTTATTTTCTCTAAATTCCTCAAAAACAAGATTACAGTACGCGGCGTTTTAGAATGCAAAAAAAAGAAAGAAAGAAATGTGAATTTCCTCCTTTTCTCCAGCACTGAATAAAGAATGAACAGCCCACAATCTTACTTGCTTCTGGTTGCGTCATTTGGTTCTGTGGATAGACGAGCTCAGAGGAGGACATGAGGCTCCCGACACTGTGGACCAGAGCACGCGGGCGTCTGCCAGCGGTTGCTAGTCATACATCACCCACCACACAAGGGACCTTGGCCAGAGCTGCCCTCGCTGGCTGGACGCCCACCAGCAGAAAGGACCAGAACAGTCAAAGATGAGGCTTGGCGAGAAGCCCCGGGGATGGAGGGAATCTTGCTGCTTCAAAATAAGGGCTTCATTTTCATTCTCCTGGGAGTTCTGCTCAGAGATCCAGATGTCAGTTTCAACAGAAGAGGACGAAGCACATAGTCAGCCCGGGGCCTTTGGCATGGGCACAGGGTAACTGAATGAAAGGACACCTGCTATGGACAGTGCAAACCTTGGTCCCAGATGCTTATGACTGGATCAAACTTCTCCCCAGAAGGCAATGGGCCTATGCAAAGGGCTACTCTGCACTCACTCTGGAACAATTGCTGCAGTCAAACGCTCCACTGAGAAGCCCTCGCATTTGCTGGTGCCCAGTGTGAATCTAAAGTTCCCTCCGCTCCTTGCAATTCCCCAGTCGTCCAGTGGCAGTGTCCCTGACCCTCCCAGGAACGTCTGGCCTCTAGAAGATGAAAAAGTCAGAGGGAATTTCCCTGCCCGTGATCTAGAATTTCAGAGCTGGAATGCTCCGGAAATGTCGGCTAGGAAAGGGGTGCTATTGATATGGACTGTCGGACATGGCCTGGGAGTGCTACGGTCCTGCCCAGGAAACAGCCCTGTCTCCCATGAGGAGCCAGGGAGCGGGCAGGGTGTGAGGCTCGGGTGGGCACAGATGGGGCTTACAGACTGCCCAGGAGGCAGGGGCAGGATCCAGCTTCCTAGAGCCAAAGGGGACTCTCAGTTCCTTTCCTCACAGGCCTGCAGAGCAAGGGAAAGACCCAGCCAGGCCACCTGGAGAGCAGGCTCCCCGTCACCCTGGGTCACCAACCAGCCCTCTAATGCAACCAGCGTAGGGAGAGATGTCAGGAGATGTGGGAACGCATACAGGACACTAGTGGCCATTCACAAAGAATTCGGTGGCAACAGGCTGGCAGGGAGCACTTCTGTCCCTCAGGGTGCTCCACCAACCCGCCTCCTCTCCCACACGGTGTTCTCTCCAGGGGCAGCTGGCTGGACAAGTGCCCTCTCTACAGTGCCCTCAGCCCTGCGCCCGTCCCCACTCAGAGGGGGCATTTGTATGTCAGGTGCAGAAGCAGTGACGTCATCAGCATGGGCCAGCACAGTTTGCTGGTCTGACCAGCATCCCAAGGAGCAGCTGTCTTGTCACACACAGGAAAGTCAATTTCTAGAGATGGCACTAGCATGCCCTCGTCCCTGTGTGCATGAGAAAGCAGGGTCATTCGAGATGAAGTGTGTCTGGACATTGTTCTCACTGTCCCCTTAACTTGGCTAGGTTGGGGGAGCAGGAGGGGCATTCAGAGACGTGGTGTTTCACTGCCCCCTTTTCTTTGGGGATGATATTCTGTGGTGCCAGGTCTTCCTTTTTGCTTGCCCGCTGACCACCTCCCTCACCTGTGTTCCCTTTGCCTTTGACCTTAGTGCTTATCCTGGGGACTCCTAGGGGACAGGCAGATGGAGAAACTGGGCATGAGCAGAGGCAGTAACTAGAGGAGACTCTGGAGCTCCCCCTAGAGGTTGGGGTGCAGAACTGAGAACCACCAGGCGCACACCTGGTGGGCGGCTGCACCTGAGGGAGGGTCGAGGTGGCCCTTGGGTTGGGCACTGACTGTCCCTTACTTAGTAAGGCTCACAGCTACTTTCCCAGAATCAGGAGTCCGGGAGGCAAAGGCCTCTGCCCTCCTTCCACAGGAGAGGAGGGCTTCTGGAATCCTTCAGGGACTTCCCGCTGTGTTTCCTGGACTCCAGGGCCCGGCAGAGGTGGCTGGACAGCTCCAGGGGGAAAGCGTGCGTCAGGCTTTGGAGATTTAAGGTGCCTGACCACCTCTTCTTGTTCTGTAGTGGAATTCTGGGGCAAGAGCATTCAATTAGATGGTCTCCAAAGCCCAGCTCGGCTCTAGCAGGTAAAATAATAGGTCTCTGGCAATTCTTTTCCTCTTTATTCCCTCTCTGTCTTCTAAATTGACATTTTTTTTTTGTAAACTGAGTTTCTTGGAATAGGGACACCTGCACTCCATAATGAGTAGATCCAATGTCCTGCTGCTAAAATTGCTTTACCAGCAGTGCACGCAATTACTTTACTGTATAAATACCAACTGGCTTTCTGGGTCAACGTGTCCCCAGGCCAGTGAGTGAGAACTAAGCATCAGTAGAACTCTTCTCCAGCAGACAGAATATTGATCTGAGTATTTCCCGGTATTCTTGTCAGAGGACCTGGTTCCCTACACCCTCTCAGGCGCGGGCCAAACCTCAGCCTAAAGTCTTGGCTGTCTCTGCCGCAGGCCTCTGTGCTTCTGAAAGCACTGACACGTTGGCCTGGAGGTGTGCTGTAGTCCTGCTCGTCATGGTTGGGATCTGTCGGGTTCCCTCTAGAAGTGGAGGGAATCGCAGGGTGACAGAGAGGGCAGCTCCCTCGGAGGTGGGTGGGACAGCAGGATTGAGCAGTGCCTGGAGCAGGCAGAAAGAAACAGAGACGATGTGGCAACCACAAGAGGCTTCTCATTTGTTTCGGGGGGTTCTCTCCCTGGGTGCTTGGATTTGCAGCTGGGGGTGGGGACACTGCTGGCAGAGCAGGAAGAGGGAATCATCTGAGCCCCAGGAAGCTCTTTCCATCTCTGAACCTCAATCCTCAAAATGGAGTTGGAGGTGAGACCACATGGTCTCCAGGGTCCTCTCCAGGTCCTCGAGGACCTTATAAGGGCACTAGTGGTGTTGGGTCGGGGCCCACTCTAATGACCCCATGTCCACTTGATCTTCACACAAGGTTGTACTCTGAGGTCTTGGAGGCTCGAACTTCAAACCCTGAGATTTCTTTGTTGGGGGGGGGGGAACAATTCCACTTAGAACAGCAGTGCTTGTGGCCATGCCTCAGTGGGTCACCTGCCTGGGCTTTAAGCTCAGTGCCCAGCTCTGGGAAGTGGAGCCCCTGATTTGTGTTCTGTAAAATAGCCACACTCATGGTCACTAACTCAGGAGGATACAGAGTGTTGGTTGCACGAACAGAGCTACCTTCTCTGTCACCCTGCAATTCCCTCCACTTCTAGAGGGAACCAGAGCCATCCCAACCATGATGAGCACCCTCAGTTGAGGAGGCTTTTGCTCTTTCTGGTCATCATTGCTGGTGAAGGACACCCCGTCCTGCAAGTGCAGCAGCAGGTGGCCCCTGCAGATGGGAACAGGCCTCTGAAAGCAAGGACATGTTTGAAGAAGGTTAGCGAGTCGAGTTCACCAGCCGTCAAGAGAGCCCACGGGTTTAGGATTTGCTCTGAGAGTTATGGAACAGAATGGACAGCTCCCGGTCAACCACCAGCCCTGTGGAATTGAAGGCCCGGGGGCCAGAGCAGGTGACGGTGTGCCCTCAGATCCCAGGTGCTGCCTGGTTCATGGCCAGTGGCCCCTCACCTCCTGCAGGTGGCCTGATGCAGCACCCTCGCCCTCATGCTCCAGGACCCTGCTCAAAGCAGACATGACTCAGGGCTCCAAGAACAGGGAAGACCATAATAGATCCCCCTACTTCAAGGAGCCCTCAGCTTCCTGGAGGAGCTAGTGGTCATTTTACCACCAATAGGAATGCAGCAATTCCACCCTAGACATCCAGGTCCACGTGGATTAATTAGAACTCACTCCGCAAAACGCCTCCAGGACCAGCTTGGTCCTGCACCAGCCTTTGCTTCTCTAGCCCCGAGTCACTCACAGTGCAGACCTGGAACCAGGTGGACCACAAAGCCACAGGGAGGGCGAAGGGGCTCTGTGAGAGCCATCCTTCAGGACAGGGAGGGGACTCATGCTCCGGCAGCTGCGCCTCCATGGTCACGACCGAGAAAGGCTTCCCAAGCTAAGCCAGACGCTGCTGGTGGCCGGGCTTGGAAAGCAGGTGGCATCATGGTACACCTCAAACAGAGAGCAGAGCTTGCACATCCTCACACGGGAGAGGATGGCAGGTCACTGTCAGGTGGAAGAAGTCCGGCCTCCTCCACCCCTAAGCCAACCAGACCCAAAGAATGACCGTTTCCCACTCAACCAGGACATAAAGCTGGGGTCCACCAGTGGGTGGGAGCTGTGACTGGAGGTGTCCCTGGGTGCCAGGTGGGTGGTGGGAGTCCACACAGGAGCCCATGACCAGAGCAGGCTCTATGGCCAGGCTGCCAGGTGTGAGTTCCACACCTGACACTTACAGGCTAGGTGACCTCAGAGAGTCACTAACCTACTGTAGCCACAACAGCACCACCCACCTGCTGGGTTCCTACACTGCCCCCTGGGCCTGGTTGTGGTCAGCACATGTCCAGGCCACCTGCCCCACCATGAAAGATGAACACCCACCATTGCCTGAAAGAGAGAATAAGCCATCTTCTAACTACGCAATCTGAGCCCATGGGTGCTGCCGTCCAGGGCTCTCGCCTGACCTGGCTGTTGTCCTTTGGTTTCAGAGGCCATATGAGATCCACTCGGCCACGCCCATTGATGAGATCCTCAGCATGTTCAAGGTGGAGCGTGTCCACTACTCTTCCACGTGGTGCAAGGGCATGGTGGCCCTGCTCAAGAAGGTAAGGGAGGGCAGTCCCGCCTGCGGTCATCTAGGGCAGACACAGGTGTGCCCGCAGGTGGAGGAGTGCAGACACCATGGCAGGACCACAGAGTCGACACCCAGCTGGGCTCTGATACCCAGGCACGAGCCACGCCATGAGGACACACAGATCACAAAGCCACAGACGGTGGAGCCCATGACAGCAAGCCACAGGCTCCTTTCACTCCTCTACAAGCTCCTGATAAATACCAATGCTGGATGCATCTGGCTCTTAGCCCACAGAGCTGTTAGCCACTGGGAATCTCCTGACATGGGGCAGGGACTGCTGCTGTAAAGGACGAGGCTGTCCCCTGGTGCAAGGCCTGGCCCAGGACCACCTGCCATCTGGGGGCCTGTGAGAAATGCACACCTTCTGGCTCTACCCCAGAGCTCCCGCGGGGGCCCCGCTGACTGTCTTGACCCACTCCCCATGGCTCTGAGGCCGGCTCCAGCTTGGCACAGCCAGGAGACCTGGGTTCCCTCCTTGTGAGAATAAGCCATCTTCTAACTTCGCAACCTGAGCCCACGGGTGCTGCCGTCCAGGGCTCTCACTCTGACTGTCGACTCCGTGGTCCTGCCATGGCATCTCAAGTCCTGCGCGTGGTCGGCACAGCCACGAGAAGCACAACAGTGCGGGCTGAGGGCCTGGGTTGAGGACCACGGCTCCGGTTTCATCCCTACGACCCCTGTGGTCAGAGCTGGCTGCCATCCCCATACCTGAGAGAGGAAAGGTGAGGGAGGCTCAGGAGAGCACAGCTGTTCAGTGGACGCCATGGGGCTGCTAAAGGCAGAGGGAGGGAGGGCTAGAGCACGAGTCCTCCTCGCTCCTGCCTCAGTCCTGGGGCAGCCGTGTGGCCTGTGAATTTCCAATCAGTTAATGGTATCTTAAAGGCAACCCCCACCTGGTCCCAGTGCCAGTGGTTCCCAACCCTCACTGATCATCAGAAGCATCCAGAAGTCCCCCCGCTGCCAGAACCTGCCCTCCCTACCCACCCCCCGAGGCAGAATCTCTGGCCCCGGAGTGTCCACTGGCATGCTCTAGAACAGCTGCTCTAGAGCGTGGACTCCAGAGAGCACTGAGATGGAGCCTGCTTAAACTGTACCCATCCTCTGGGGACAGCCCCTAAACAGAGCCATTGTGACCAGCAGATACAACCCCCGCAAGGTGGCTTCAGGTGGGGTGGCAGCAGCCTACCCAGCAGCCATAGCTGGGACACTTCTGCAATGACAGGTGACAAATAGCAGTGAACTGGTGGTGTGGGGAGGGGTCTGACTTCTGGCTCCCACCTGCAGACAGCTCCCCAGACACATGCCAGGTCCTGGCCAACCATGGGGTCTCACCCTGACCTTCGGCTGGCATGGAGGGACTGGCATGGAGGGACTGGCGTGGAGGGACTGGCATGGAGGGTCTGCCACGTTCTCCTGCTTTGACGAGAAAACAGGTGCAGAAGCACCTCACTGAGGCCACCTGGCCCTCGGTGGCACCGCAGGGATAGGGCCCCTGCTCTTTCACCTCTAGCCCTGTGCCCCGTGTACCTGTGACCCAGAGCACTTGGAAAGCCCCTCCTGGAGCTGAGGGGGGGGCCTCTGAGCTGCCTGTCCCTTACTAGCAGAAAGTCCATCTGAAGAGAAGCTAAAAACAGTCCCCTTGGCTGAATGCAGGGCCACCCCCTTGGGTCACCTCGTAGGTATCCAGGGAGAACTGCACCTTCCTTTACCAGGTTCAAGTCCTAGGTCAAGCCTGGTGCCCTCCTTGTCTCTGACGGGAAGTCCGCAGGCGTCTGGGAGAGGAGGCCTGTGCACTCTTAATCCCAGAAAGGAGCGTGGAGGCTGGGAATCTAGGCCTGCCCCACAGCCCCCGGCCCACAGCCCCCGGCCCACAGCCCCCGGCCCATGACCTGCAGAAGCTGCCTGGCCTGGCTGTCCTCCCTGGCTATGGGAGGGGCGTGTAGCTGGTGCTTCCACTGCAGTCCAGACGGGGCAGGACGCTGATGGGCTTGACAAGCCGAAGACCTCGTGCTTGATGGTCCCCGGGTGACACCCCCACCCTGAGTCCTTGCTCGCCTCCATGGACGCACAGTTCAAGGAAGCACATTTGCCCTCTGACCACAGCTCCTGACCAAGGACCCCGAGAGCCGCCTGTCCAGCCTCAGTGACGTTCAGAGCGCACCCTACCTGGCTGACATGAACTGGGACGCGGTGTTCCAGAAGGCGCTGAAACCCGGCTTTGTACCCAATGTGAGTGGGGGTCCCATTGACGTCACACTTCCCCTCAGAGGTCCCCACTGTGACACTCAGCATGACCCCTGCAGCTGGCCAGTGAGCTCTCTGCTGGCCACGGCCACTGGAGCACCAATGGGCTCACGTTTCACTGGGATTCGGGGTGGACTTGAGCCTGGAGTTCAAGGTCTGCTGAGCCTCTTTCCTCACATACCACAGGGGTGCAGGCGGGCAGTGGGGGAGTGGCCGGTCTGCTGTCCTGCCTGCGTGGACTGTCTCGTACAGGAAGAGAGACAGGGGCCTGCCCACCAGTGAGCCTGCAAAACACGCCAAGGCCGGGAGGGGAGAGGTGGCAGGGGAGGTGAGGAGGCGGAGAGAGCTGAATGAAAGAGGAGCCAGGCACGCGGAGGTCCTGAGATTCCCGGGTAGAGGGGCCACCAGGATGACGCATGCACCTGGAGGTGGCACAAAGCCCAGGTTTCAAAGAGCAGTTCAAAGATTTTATAGCTGCAGCAGAATAAAACCACATGGGGAGTGACCGGAAGTGAACTGAGGGGACGTCAGCCGTGCCAGGGGATGCCCGCCGTGCTGGGGGTGCCCGCCATGCCAGGGAGGTTTGCCCCTAATGTCTCCCATTCGATCCCTAGCACTGCAAAATAGCAAGACGATGACAATGATGATAGGGTAATGACAACGCGAAATGTTTCTCCAAATCAGTTTCCCGAGTCCAGGGCTTCCAGGTCCCTCCGCACAGACGAAGGGACATAGGTGTTGCGACATAGGCTCAGGTTTCAGAAGTCGGCTCCTCCACGCCTGCCCAGCGTTCCAGAGGGAGCCTGTAGGGCAAAGCCCGGCTGGGTCTCTGCCCTCTCCCAACAAGCAGGTGTGCCGTCCCTGCCTAGACAAATGCTTGTCCTTAAGCAGGCCAGCCCTTCCCCAGGCCCCAGGGCAGCCTGAGGGCTCCCTGGCCCCCCGCCCCTCGGCTGGGCCAGGAGAGGCTATCGCGGAGTGATTTGCAGGTCCTGCCCACTGTTCTTCCTGGGAAAGTTCAGGTGTTGCTTGGCTCACTCTGTGTCTGCGTCTGTGTTTGTGTCTGTGTGAACGTGTCTGAGTGTGTGTGTGTGAGTGTGTCTGCATGTGATGTGACAGTGTGCTTCCAGAGGCGATGGCCCACTGGTCAGTGAGAACAAATTCCATTTTCCACCATGTCCCACTGACCGGTCAGAACAGATACCACAGTGCCATTGTCACCTGCTCTGAATCCCCAGCACCTGCACTGGCCTGCCCTGTGCTAGACACCAGGTGGGCCCTGGTGAGGGCATCGATCATGGTGCCCACTGTGGGAGCTCCCAGACCAGAGCTGGCACCTCAGTACGGCACAGTCAGGCTCAGCCTGGGCCAACTCTGTGGGGCTGCCCTGGGGGACGCTCAGCAGCTCCCCTGCTTCTACCTACCAGATGACAGGGGCAGCCGCTACTAGGACAGCCAAGTGTCCCCAGCACCACCGAGTACCCCTGGGGACAAAGCTGACCCTGTTGACAACGGGGCTCCTGGCACGCTGGCTACACAGGTTCAGCTGGCTTTGCCATCTCTGTGACCAGGTGCTGGGTCACATGGGGTTGGCAGTGCAAGCCTTCAGGAAAGACCCGCAGCGGCGTTGCTGGGTGATTCAGAGACCCCTGGAGGCCACCTCAGCTCCCTCGCTGGCTTCCTTCAGGAATGTGTCCTGGAAACTCCAGAGAAACTCGCTGGCACCTCCCAGGGCCTCTGACCTGCCACTCAGCCGAGTTGCTGAAGCCCGAGTACCGAGGCAGCCCTGCATGGCCAGCCCTGTTGACCAGCTAATTGTTCTCCTGGCCACGTCCAAGACCCCGGGGATGTGTGCTGGGAAGCCCTGAGAGTGCTTGGGGACAATGTGTGGCATTGCCACATCTGGCAGATAAGCCTGTTATGGGAAGGGACCTGCCTCTGCCACCCTCACCTGCCACTGCTCCAGTTCCTCCCGACGCACCCTCACATATATTCACACACATACTCACACCCATGCACACTCACACTCTAACACACTTACTCTCATGCACAGGAACACACACGCTCATACACACCCACTCATACACACACTCACACGTACTCACATGCACTCTCGCTCACACTCTTGCACACTCACATACGTCATGCAGTCACACACACAAATTCACACTTACCCATACACACTCACACACTCGGACACACTTGCTTGCAGTCACACACATTCTCTTACACAGTCACTCACAAGCATACACACTCACATACACACAGTCAAACACACTGAACAGGTGCCTGGGGCCATGCTGTTGCAATGTGCCCAGGTCCCCTGAGAGCGTAGTGTTGGCTGGCTTCTGTCTGAGAGACGCAGAGCCACAGGTGCACTAGAAGGCCCTAGAAGGCCTGGTGTGTGCTTGTCCTGAGGGTGAACACGTGGGTGATGCAGCGACTGAGATGTCCTCTGTGCCAGGCCTTGTTCTGAGCTTTGCCTGTGTTCAGGAAGCCTCATGCCACCTGGGCAGTGCATCCCGGGGTGATCTGGGTGAAGGTAAGTCCTGGGCTGCACAGGTTTGGATGTGTGAACGGAGGGACAGCAGACAAACAGGCCAGGGGAGAGCAGGCCCAAGTGAATCTGCTCCCTGGGAGAGGGCGCATGCAGGAGGACGGGTGTGTGCAATCAGGGACAGGGGCTCAGCATGTGCCAGAAGTTGGTGACGATGGAGGGAGCCCCAGGCCCTGAGCGGAGGGGAGCCCCCAGCACTGGGGGATTCACAGGGTCTCACTGCAGTCCCATGGAAAGGTGCATGGGACTGAGAAAAAGCTGACAATAACAAGGACGGTCGCGTGCAGGGCCCAAGAGCTTGTCTGGGCCTCTCAGGCAGACGCATAAGGCCCGCATCGCCTCCCTCATTCTTCAGCCCAGAAGGGGTCAGTGACCTTCAGAGAGGGGGCAGGGCCAGCATTGCCCCAGTTCTGTCTGCAAAGGCTCTTCCGCCTCCTGCTCTCAGGCCACCACCCGGGCCCTGAGGGCACCAAGCCAGTGAGGCAGCCTGGATGGCAGGTGGGCGATCCGGCTAGTGAGCTGGGACCCAGGGGAGGTGCAGGGGGCCTGAGAAGCAGCAGGAGGGCGGTCATTGACGGTCAGGCAGCTGCTCTGCTGGAAGCTTGGCAAGCGCCATCTCAGTGAGCCCTGGGCAGCCTCTGAGCTCCGCAGTTCACGCGGGTAGAGGTAGAGGCCGAGGCGTCGGGGTCTTCCCAGTCACCCAGCAAGGCCAGGCGGGCGGCCCCTGGGGCTGTGCTGGCCTTGCTCCTCTTGGCCCGGTCACGGCAGCCTGGGTCCTAACAGTCCAGGAACACCCATGCAGGGAGGACTGGCTCCTCCAGGGCCCACCTCAAGTCCTTCCTGGAGGCGACTGCCCAGCACCCAAGGGAGGGCCGGCTGTCCAACTGCAGGCGCGGGGCGGAGTCCCCGGGCAGGGGTGAAACCCGTTCAAAGTCAAAACGCAGCAGCTCTGGGGTCTTCCCTACGTGACTCTGGGGCTGCAGATGCCATAGCCCCTGGGCCACATTGCCAGGGGGACTGGCACCTGGGCCAGTCACTGAGGATGGGTCTTAGGACAGAGAATGACTTCTAGGGAAATGGGTCTGAGGCCTGCAAGTCAGGGGCTCGAGGGCTCCAGTGTGGGAGACAGGCAACCAGGACAGGGAGCTGGCAGATGTCAATCATGGATGGCATTTTAAATGAAATAATTAAAACTATCATAATGATTATAAAGTGATTTCTAATAATTATATAATTAATGCATTTCTAGAAAAAAGATAAAAATGACATGAGAATGTGATGAATTAACCAGTGAAGAAAATCAGATTGGAAAACTGCGCTCACTCTCATGAAAACCATGCACAGGGTGAATCAGGAAAGCTAATGGGACAGCGAGGGGCTGTCCCGGGAAGAGGGTGTCTGACATGGCTCCTGAGAGAACAGGGGTGGGAGCGCCCATCACAGCGCAGCCTGGTGACCTGTTTTCTTCCCGCTTCAGAAAGGGAGGTTGAACTGTGACCCCACGTTTGAACTTGAAGAGATGATTCTAGAATCCAAGCCCCTTCACAAAAAGAAGAAGAGGTTGGCAAAGCACAGGTCCAAAGATGGCACCAAGGACAGCTGCCCCCTGGTGAGTGCTTCAGGAGTGTCCCCAGGGCTGGGGGAGAGTGCGGAGCGAGGCGCAGCCAAGGGGCAGGGGCGGGCCTCCTGCCCTTCCAAGCTTAAGCAGCTGGATATCCCGAGTCCCTGCCCTGCAGCCGCGGGGACCCCTCCTCCATCCTCACCTTCCCTTCTTTCTGGGTCCCTGTGTCTCCACGTGGCTCTCACAGAAGGACACCAGTCACTGGCTTTAGGACCCACCCTAACCCACTCTCGGTCACCAACTCCATCACACCAGCAAGATCCCGTTTCAGAGAGGCCACGGGCCCCCGTACCAGGGCTCAGGACTTGAGTCTATTTGGTGGGATGCATTTTGACCCTCAACAGCCCCATCCCTATAAAAAATTTGGTTTGGTTTTAAAGCATTGGTATCAAGATGAATAAAGTCAGTGATGCCAAGGTTCCTTGTTTTCCTCTGATTTTAAAAGAAAATAAACACCTTCATCCCCTCTGAAGTCTCGGGGCCCTCAGCCCTGAGCAGCTGTGGGTGTTGCAGAGACAGAGCCCCCTGCCCTGCGAGCGCGAGGAGCACAAGAGGGGAGCGTGCTTCCCACGCCACCTGCATCAGTGTGTGGCTTTGGGGGCCACTGGACAGTGTCAGCGAGCATCTGTGGTGTGGGGGGTCCTGGCACCTGCTCCTGGGGGAGCCCTAGGATTCTCCTGGCCCCAGCCCCTTGCACCGCGTCTGGTACTTCTTCTCCCCCATGCTCCTCTCTCGTAGGCCCAGTGAACACCCACAGGCTTGGGAAGCCAAGCTGGGGACCTTCACTCCATCGTCCTGTAACGTGGCATTTGAGGGGATGTGAAGCTTAAAACTGAGGAAAACCCTTGTCCGCCATCCCCCTCAGAAGCAGCCACTCTCTCAGTCCACACCTCCCCAGGCACTGGGCTGGGCCCCGCAGGGCCAGACCTGAAGCTCCTGTTGCTTCCTTTGTGTCCCTTGCCGCGGGTCCCTGGACAGTGCTCCACTGCTCAGTCACCTCTCTGTGCTCTCTGACAGAACGGACACCTGCAGCAGTGTTTGGAGACAGTGCGGAAGGAATTCATCATATTCAACAGAGAGAAGTAAGTCCACACTGAGCCGGCAGAGCCTTTCAGCTCGGCCACACCCTCCTGGGAGAACCACGGTCAGTGAAGGCTGCCCCGAGGCCCCGGGCACGTCCCCCAGGAGCTGGTCAGCCAAGGAGGTGGAGGACGCAGACTTGGGCCCAGCTGGTGTTAAGATCTGGGGGCTCAAATGCCAGAGGCTGGTTTGTCAGAGCAGAGGCATGGGAGGGACACCCCGTGGGACACAACTGACCCAGGCCCAGGGCTGACAGAGAGAGCTCAGTGGCGTCCCCTCCCCTCCAGGAGGGTCCATCCATTTTCAACAGATGACAGCAGCACAGGGGTCACTTTAGAGGAAAGGCAGCCCTGGGCTGTGGCTTCCACCACAGGTGCCGGCCCAGCCTGGGGATCAGGGATGCTTCTGGAGGGACTGTGCCCACCTGAGTCCTGAGCAAGGCAGAGGGGAAAGACATCCAGGTGAGGTGCGGGACAAGCCACAGAGAAGGGAGGCTGCAGGGAAGGTGGGGACCGGCCGATGGGCAGGCGCTTGAGTTCCCAAAGGGGGCAGGGAGGTGAAGGGCAGGGCAGGGCAGGTCTGTTCCCAGTGAGGGCTGCAGAAGGGGAGCTGACACCATGTGTAGTGACGGGCCATTGCAGATCCTGGGCAGTCCAGGCTGCTGTAGGCTCCCAGCCCTTCCCCAGCCCTAGACAACCAGGCCCAGGAGCTTGAGCTTAGAAACCATCTGTGACCGCGGGCTCAGGCAGCCTCCTGGGTCAGGCATCTGCTCTGAATGGCCCAGCTGCACCTAGAGTGCCCGGCTGGCAATGGGAGCCCGCGCAGGCTGAGCAGAGCAGAGCCTGAGCCGGCAGCAACACATTTCACATTTCTCTGTGTCCCAGAAGATGCTTCAATTTGGATTCCACAGTGTGTCCCTCTGAAAGCAAATGGGAATGGGCTCCTCCCCAGGGGTCATTTAGGGGTTGAGTCTGGCTGCTTTTAGCTTCACCCAATTCAATGCTCCCCCCGCGTGGAGAGGGAAATCGATTAGGAAAACGTAGACTTGCCCGGTGTGCCGAGCGGCCCTTGGAGACTTGCGGTCATGGCTCTGCAGTGAGGCTGGCATCGACTGCAGGTTCTGGCAAAGTCAAGGAAGAGAGTAGGAGTCATTTTCCAAACAGAGGGGCATCGGGAACAGCCTTGGCACACAAAGGCAGCATGGATGAAGTGGCCAGAGGGCACGGGTAAGTCGGGACTGCCGTCCTGCTCCTGTGTCCGCCTCGCTGCCTACCTGGCTGCTCCCAGGGCGGCTGCCAGGGCAGGGGTGCCTCTGCTCACCTGCAGTATGAAGGTACTCGTCGGAGGGCCCGGCCTTGACCCCTCAAGATGCAGCCCAAGACCCCCCTCCCTGGCAGATCCCATCCTGCCTTGTCACATGGGAGACACATCCCCTCCCCGCAGCACGCCCTGCCCCAGTTTCTCCACTGTAAATAAGTCGATCATGATTCACAAGCTGCCTGAAACCAAGGAAAACGTGGGACCATGTGTCCTCCTCTTCTCTCTCAATCCCTTGTTTGAGCACCTGCTGTGTTGGCACTTAAGTATCTGAAAAATTAAACCAAGGCCCTTCTTCCCAACGTCTCCTATGTGCCGTGTGGGAGGACATATCCGGGCATGCTGAGCCCGGAGCCTGGCTTGTGGACCAAGCCTGGGCCCTGTGGGTCAATCTCCTTTCTTTCTCCGCAGACCTGGCCATTGGCCTCCACAGACTGCCCCTGCCCATGTGCAGCAGGTGCGGGCCTCTTCTGTGGAGGGCACCATGGGCCCAGCAGCCCCTGTCAGAATCATCTGGGGTGACCTTATAGTTGTGCAGCTGGTATAGGTTATATTGTGTACCCTAAAGTCCTAACCCCCAGGACCAGTGAATGTGGCCTTATTGGACATAGGGTCATGGCAGATGTAATGAGTTAGGATGAAGCTGTTGTAGAGTAGGAAGGGCCCTGAGTCCAACATGGCTGGTGTCCTAATAGGAGAAGAGACACAGACCCATGAGAAGGCCATGTGGGGAGGAAGGCGGGGACTGAGTGGTGGGTCTGCCGCCCAGAGGCCAGCAGCCACCAGCAGCGGGAGAAGCAGGACCAGGCTCTCCCTCGCAGCCCTCCCTGCGGGAGCCACCCCACCGCACCCTGGTGTCTGTCTCTGGCCTCCAGAGCTCTGGAAGAGCTTTCGACTGCTTTAAGCCCCTAGTTGGTGGTGTCCTGCCCTAACACAGCACCCTGGTCCACACTTTCTGAACCAGAAGTGGACAGAGGAGGCCTGGACCTTCTTTTGAACATGCTCTGTTCATTCTGACACCTGAGCCTTGTCTGCGGACAGCACTGTGCCCAACTGCGCAGCTTCTGTTTGGTGCTGAGTCATAGGATCTCCTAACACTGCAGACCCTCCCAGCCCTTGTCCCCTCCCCCAGCGTATCCAACGCCTGGCCCTCCCTCCCTGGCCGAAGGACACTAGTGGGCTCACTTTGTGCGACTTGCTGTCTCCCGCATGGTGCAGGTCTGCCTGCTTCCTCGGCTGGAAAAGGCTCTTGGCAAAGAGAAGGTCCCTGCAGCTCCGCCACAGTGAAGAAGCCGCCATCTGCATAACCCCTGAGGGCCGGGGCCCTGGGGCAGACCATCACCACACTGGCCCCTGCAGGAGACGCATTCAATCACTTGACAGTCACACCACAATCCTGGATTGGTCCCTGAAGAAGCAGAATTGAGTCTGGCAGGACCCAGGTCCTCAGGATGCCCGCAGCCTGTGGGCAGAGCAATACCAAGCCTTGCAGGCTGCCAGGGCACAGTCACCAGCGCAGGGACACAGGAAGTGTCCTGGGCCTACCCTCTCTGGTCCTTAGTTTCTAGACAGAGAGCAAAATTAAAATCAGTTCTGCCCAGTGTCCTGCAAAAGCAGCTTATTATTGGCTACTGGTCTCAACCAGCAAAAGGCCATGAGCCAGGTGGAGCACTTGCTTCCAGGGACCAGCTAAGCTCCTTCATTTTGAGAAATGCACAGTGGGGCTTGTCCCCTTCTTTTTAGCCAAGGATCTGAGCAGGAATGACTTTTCCAAGAGGTTTGTTCAGCAGCATTTGACAGAGTTTCTCAGAATAAGAAAAAGGGGTGTAGGTAGCCAAAGTTTCTGTCCTTCTTACTCCTAAGGAAACGGCAGATTTAAAATCACCCTAAAGCTGCCTCTGGAACCCACAAGAATATTATTACACCTTAAAATTCTGCATTTAACACACTTAATTCTATTGATAGTAACAGCAATCGACATCCTTATGTGATTTTATGGTTTCAGGTTTGTGTCCTTTAATCCTGGGCTTCTCAATCTTGCCACTCCTGAAATCTGCCATCTCCTGTGGTCAGTTCTTGGCTGTGGATTGCACTGATCGTGGTAGGATGATTGAGGCATGGGACTCCTCTTGGGCTTGGGAACCTGATGGACTGGGACAGACCCTGGTCTTGCTTCTCAGGGTGCTGTGACCTGGTGAGGTCCCAAGCCTCTCTGAGCCTCAGGTTCCCCTTCTGTGCCAGCAAAATGGCTGGGTATCAATGGCTCCTAGACTCCACCAAGGTCTGTGCCATTTGCAAAGTGTGTTGACATTTCTTTGATCTCATCACCAGCCTCAACAGTGAGGAAGGGAGACCTTGTGTTTTGCAGATTGGCTTGTGAAGTGGGGAAAGCCCTTGGCACAAGCCTCTCAAACCCCTGGGACACAGCGAACGTAGAATTCAGAACGTAAAAAGGTTTCTGAATTCAAGGCTGGCACACAGAGGCTCCTCCTAGTCTGGGGCTAAACAGGGCGGCCCAGACCTTGGTGTCTGGGTGAGGATGCAGAGGTAGCGCTACCTCCAGTGAGCTGGGCCTCGGGAGTTCCTCCCACCAGGTGCAGATGGGGAGCGAGGCTGGGCCTGAGACCTGCACCCACAGGAGGGGAAGTGGCCTGGGACAATCAGCTCAGAGACCTGCAACCAGCAGGAGGCCCTTCAGGTGGGAGTGAAGGCGGCCACAAGGCTGCTCAATCCGCAGGCTCTTCATGGTGCAGTGAAAACTCAAAATCAAGAAATTGCATGGGAAATCAGGGCCGTGTCAGGTTCGCTCAGGTTTCAATCAGAGGAAATTGCAGCCCAGTTTCAAGAGGTTGGCTGATCCTGACGTGTTCGTTGCAGCCAATAAAAGATGAAACAGAAAATGAACAGGACACAGACAAAGCTCACCGTGATTCCTGAGTGTGTTGAAAGCTGCCGAATGCCGTGCCCTGGGCTTGAGATCAATTTCACTTGCTCCACAGTTAATCCTCCTTGCCGCCTGGATTTGCAAGTGTGTGTTGACATCGGGAGGGACCAGCCGGAGGTCGCTTTGGGTTCCACTCACCATACAACACCATCTCATCCTCAGTTCTGATTCCTGCACACACTGTCCCTCGTGGAGCTCAGCGGGGGTGCTGCTCCGCCAGCTCCCGCCACCTCCTCTCCTCACTCCCGTGAGCACCTGCAGCATGGCAGGCATCAGGAGCAGGGCAGGGTGCCCGAGAGGCTGGCACAGCTGATTAAATGCTCAGCCCCCCAGGAGCAATACACACTGCAACTCATGCCTGGGCACAACCAGTCACACGGCCCCACCCAACCCCAGGGGAGCTGGGAAGTGTCACCCTGCCACATGCCAAGAGGAGCAGCCCAGTGGAACTATTGGCCACCGACCCATCAGCCCCCAGTGGAGGCCCTTCCTGTGTCCTCCCCATGTCAAGGAGGACCCAGTAAATACCACCCTTACCCCAGCAGACACACAGCCGCTCAGCCTCACCCCTGAGTCTAGAGGAGTCTGCTGGTAACAGTAGCCAGGAAGGATCATGGGGAAGGGTACTTAGCCTGGAAGACAGGAACCGCAGGGTCCTGTATTCAAATCCTGGGCACCTCTGTAAAGCTCTGTGACCTACAACCAGTTCTCATCCACTTTCTGGTCCCTTTCTTCCCCTTGGGTGGGTGCTATTCCTCCTGATCCTGGGTGGGTAGACGCCAACAGAACCATCCCTGGCTACTCAGAACCCACCTCCGCCACCCCTTCCTTTCTCCAGAGCGGAACCAGCCCTGGCTACCCAGAACTCCGACCAAACCCTGCTCTGCCACCTTACACCAACACCCACAGTTCAACTGGCTTCCTGCAAAGGCTTCTTCAAATACACACTGCTTCAGGCAACACAGGATAAAGCAGACAGAATCCTACAGCTTCTGGCCAAGGGCTCTCATTGAATTTATGAGATAAGAATTGCTACCAGGTGATCATCCCAGTAAACGAGGAGCCTCAAAGGGAAACAGCGAGTTGTATGGAGTTTACTTGAGGAAGAGAAATCTCATCAGGGGCTAGAAGGATGTTGTACCCCTCAGGGCCCCTTAGGAAACACCAAGTGGAGTTTACTTACAGAGGCCCATTTCCATCACCGTGGATGTGGGGCACAGACGGCTGGCTACATTGCTTTGCCAAGAAGGGGAGGGGAGATAAGGGTCCAGGGACAAATAGAGCCACCAAGGACCCACTCCCCATAACTAAGTCCCCCTCCTACAGTCCCCCTACCTCCCACAGACACTCAGCCACGAACCATCACAGGATTAATCCACTGAGGGGGTCAGAGCTTTCATGATCCAACCACCTCCCAAAGCCCTTTCTCTGGACATTGTTGCCCTGGGGACCGAACCTTCAACACATGAGCCTCGGGGATCATTCCAGGTCCAAATGATAGCAGGGCATTGAGACCTACTGCCCAGGAGCCCTGTAGGAGGAACGACTGGACCCCTCGCCCCATGGGATCGTGAGCACGGCAGGAGAGTTTGCTAATGATTTTACGTGCACACTTACACTGCCACTCAATAAGCACTGCATCAAACACTGTCTGTGTTCATTTGTTTAAGCCCAGGGGTACACACGTACACACAAAATAATGACGTGTCCCGACTCCTTCAGCCACGAGGTCAGAAGTCCCTGCACATGAGCTCACACCATCCAAAGTCCACAAGGGCTGCCAGCTTGACAACCCAATCACTGTCCCGCCAGGACACCCTGCGTACTCGGGTTGATCACAGCCACCTCCCTTCCCCTGGGGTGCTGAGACAGCCCCCCAGCCTGGGCACCTGCTGCCATGAGGGTGACGTGCAGGCTGGCCGCCAACGCCTTTACCCACCCCCCATCCCTTCAGCACACCGTGCTGGGCACTCGCCCCTGGCTGGTCACCATGCTGGGGCTGTGAGGCCTCAGATGGCACTCTGTGACTCTGCCCAGTGGAAGAGAGACCCAAACCAGACAGCAGCCCGGTTCTAGGTTCTGGGTCCACGCCCTGGTTCCCAGCTTGTGGGCCTATTAATCAGCTTGTTCACTGCTGTGACCAAAGACCTGATGAGAACAGCACAGAGGGGCAGAGCTCAGCTGGGACTCACAGTTCCAGGGTCTCCGTCCCTGCAGGGCCGGCTCCATGGCTCTGGGCCACAGGTGAGGCAGAGCATCATTTCAGAAGAGGTGGTGGGGTAAGGCAGGTCAGGACTGGCCTCCAGGAAGCAGAGAGACTCCGCTCATGAGGGATGAAATGTATACCCCAAAGGCAGGTCCCTGGTGAGGCCCCCTCCAGCCACACCCACCTGCCCACAGTTACCACCCCGTTAATCCCCATCAGGAATCGATGCACTGATTAGGTCACGGCTCTCCTGAGCCAGTCCTTCCACCTCTGGACCTTCTTGCATTATCTCACCATAACAGGACCCCTGTGGCCCCCCGTGATCCCGGGGGCTGGACTCCCCCCTCAGCCTGCTGCCCTGTTTCGTCCACCCTGGGTCCTGATCTCCTGGCCACTCCTGCGTGTTTCAATGGTACCCACCACTTCTCAGGGGCTTCTGCCCTGACCCCCATCCAGGATGAGGCCTACTGACCCAGCTGGGGGTGGGGGTCATCATCAGGAAACAGTCATCGGTGCCATGTCAGGAGGCCTTGCTGACCCTCAGTTTCTCTTTGAGGAGACTCAGTTGTCCCCTGGGTACAGATGAGGAGAGAGGCTGGAGGAGAGGCCAAGCTCCTGGCCAGAGCCGGGACTCTGCTCTTCCCTCCAGCCCTCTACACAGCACCACAGGGTCAGGTGAGACCAGCTGGTGACATGGGTCACGTGAGAGCATTGCAAAACACTTTTGCCTTTTAAACTGCAACATACAAAGAAGCCGGCCTCTCTCAAATGGGAGGTGGGGCCTCACCTGTGGCTGGTTGCCTAAGAACGATGTGGCGCTGAGCTGGACCGGTCCTGGCGTGGTCAGAGCATGGAGATTGGTTTGCTTACCCGCATTGATTCTCTTGTTCTCCTCTGTGGGGCTTCGCTTCTGCAAACTGCCTGGAGCCTGGTTCATTACCAACTGCCACGTGTCCTTCTCCTGCAGAGCACCTCTGCTGAGCCGGGTCCTCCCCCAGGGCACTTCCCCCAGGGATTCACTGCTGGAGTTCAAAGGTGGAGGGCTCATACTCATCACTCAGGATTCTGGTCACAAAGATGACGATTAACCTGATAAGTTTCCTGAGAAATTAAATGTTCCTGTCATTGTGGAGATAACTAGCCAATTTGCATGAATGGAATTGAGCCACCTCTGGTAGTGTGTGTAAACTCTCCCCACTTCCTCTGGAGTCAGATTCCTGGGCCGCAGGCGCGTCCTCTAAGTGAGCTCTTGGTGCAGCGTGATGGATTTGGGCCTTTGTCTCCATTCACAAATCCCCATTTGCAGCGTGAGCTTTTCTAATTCCTTCAGAGCGTGGAAAAGACCATGGTGGGGCCAAGCTGCGCACCTCATAGCTTCTGGGGGCAGAGGGCAAGAGAAAGGGGCAGACCCACTCCCTCAGCCAGGTCCACCACCCAGTTACAGCCACGGCCCAGTAATCCACGGAGCCACGGGTCCTTCAAAGGGTCAATCACTGATGAGGTCGGAGCCCTCCTGATCAATCGCCGCCCAACACCCCATCCCTGAACACTGCTGCTCAGGGGACCAAGTCTTGAGTTGAATGAGCCTTTGGGGACGATCCGGTCCACAACAGGGGGGTCTTTCTTGATTATGTCTCTTGCTCAGACAGGAGCCTGGGACTGAGCTGCAAGGACATGACCCCCGTCATTGAGCTCCTGCACTTGGCCCCTCCCCCGCTCTCAGTGACTCTGCTGCTCCTCCTGATAGCTCTGGCCCAGAGGGTGGGCCATGGCTGAAGCCCCGAGCTCTCGGGAGGGCCTGGTCCTTGCTTTCACTTTCCCAGCCTTGGCCCTCTTGTCCCCTCACTCACCCACAATGTCCCATTGCAGAAGCCCATCTAGTGCCTGAAGGCCACCTCAAGTGCTGTCTCCTGCAGAAAGTCTCTCCTGAGCCCCACGAGATTTCAGAGCCCAACTGTCCCTCATGGGCGCCCACGTCACTGTCTCGACTCTGTCTTGTAATAACTACTGAAGTTCCGTGTCTGGAGGGGGCCACGCTGGCCCTCCACACGAGCTGTGTAGGCATGCCCTGCTATTCTAAGACACCCAAACCCAGGGCTGGGCACTTAACAGACTGTCTCCATGGGGCTCCTTTGTCCTTCATGTGCAGAGAACTCTGCAGCATCACCTTGTGAGCCAGACCAGGAGGCCCTGCCTCGAAGCCCGGTCCTGTCCTCAGGATGATGGGCCTTAGCCATGGCCACTTGCCAGCCATCCTGCCTGGGGAGCTGCGGGGGCAGAGGAACAGACCCCCATCGCGGGCCTTGTGGGGACAGAGCAAGGGACAGGAGCCACAACTCATGGCCTCGTGAGACAGTGTTGCCCCTGGTGCTTCTGTGTCACCTAAAGTACGCACTCCATACCTACGCTGTCACAGACGCTCTGCTCAACACTGTCACACACGTTCACAGGCACAGCTGTGGCCACCCAAGGCATGGGCTGTGCTGTGCTTGTCCTGAGGTCACTTACAGTGCCCTGCAAGTGACAAGCACACACAGACACTTGCTGCGTAAGCTGACATCAGTTTCATGAGGACAGCGGTGACTGACAGCCGGCTCTGGGCCGACTGGCAGAAGCCCGCTAGTGTCCAGCCAGGCTGCTCTCAGCCGGAACAACAAGGTGGAACTAGGAGCCATCTGTGTCGTTCCCAGCCCTATTAGGACACTTCGCACACGCTCTCCGACCCCAGCCTCCCGCCAAGTCCCCAGTAGAATCTCCACCTTCAGACGAGGACACTGAGGCTCAGACGAAGCTCAACAACTCGAGCCATGAGACCCAAGTAGCGGGTGTTGAGGGACATTCTAAAATCCCTCACTGCCCCCGGGAAGGGCTCACCTCTGTCTCTGGCCTGCACCAATCACAGACAGTGGCAGCTGTGGACAGGAGAGGATGAACCTGAACTTGAAGATCAAAAAGGGAGGATGTTGAGATACGCAGACGATGGCCAGGTGGCCAGCTGCTAAGAAATGCAGGGTTCAGAATCCAGTCCCTGACATTACCCCGGGGTGTTTTGTCTGTCCATGTTTGACTGTTTGATATTTATTGTGGGATTGTTTGATCAGTGACCATCTCCCCCTTTAGACAGTACGCCCTGTGAAGACGGGGAACGTGGCTGTTGGCTTGCCAGGGTACCCGCTCCCAGGCATGACGGGGGACCTCGGCAGGCATTCAGCAGGGACACCCTGAACCATGCTGGGGGGCTCACCCAGCACCTTGCTGGCTGTGAACTGGGTGAATTTCTCTACAGTCTCTGTATTCTTCACGGGGGGCCAAGACAGAGAAGCCGAGGCTCTGTGCGTTCAGCAGGTCACAGGTCACGGAGCACAGCACCCTGCCCCCCTCGCAGGAAGGCAGGCCCAAGGCTGTGCTTGCCCAGGTACCTCCCCTGAACCTGCGGCTGCACCCCAGCTCCTCAACACTAATGCAGCTCCACGCTGTTCTTGTTTGCAGGCTCAGGCGGCAGCAGGGACCAGGCGGCCAGATGTTGGACACGGAAGGCCGAGCTGTGAGTCAGACCCAGAGTAAGCTCCAGGACGGGTGCAACAACAACATCCTGGCCCACGCCTGCTCCCGGGGCTGCAGCAGCTAAGCTTCCACCTGCAGATGCCCAGTGGACTACAGGCGCCTCTGCCCTGCCCACCCAGAGCCACACTCTGTGCTAAGGCGGTCCCCATCTCACCCTGAAAACATCAGATGCAGAAAGAGACCTGGACTTAGAGCTGGAAAGTCTGGGTTCTGGTCCCTGCGTCCCACTGATTTGCTGTGTGACCTTGGACAAGTCACATCTTCTGTGCCTCAGTTTTCTGAATCTGCCAAAGGGGTCAAACAGCTCTCCGCCCCACCTCCAGATACGAGGTCATTGTGAGACTCCAGTTGGATAACAGACATGCAAGACCTTAGGCGTTTGTAAAGTTGTCTATACACACAACGTAGAATCTCATCTTTGAAGTGCACTCCCATTCCCCAAAGCAATGAGACCACTGCAACCTGGCAGCTGGGCCCATCCTGGCTTGTCAGATGGCACTCTGGAAGATGGCATTCCTGAGGACAGCGTAAATGCTGGATGCGTTTACCCTCCTATGGCAACTCTACTCCCACATCCTGGAGCAATCCCGACGTGTCTCCATTCACATCCTCGGCTGGCCACAGACGCCCTGCCTTCTGGCACGGTGCAGACCAGCCTGGTCCCCACGGTCACCGTGCTCCTCCCGGGTTCACAGAAGACCCTCCCACCTCTAACTTCAGCAGTCTCCCTCCCTCCTCCCCCCCCGAAGGCCCTTTGCTGGAGTCAGGTCACTGGTCAGCATTTACTCCCACAGTGTCAACCAGGCTCCCCCAAAACCCAGCCCTGCCACAGAACTCCCATCCCCTCGTGCACCCCCGTCTTCCTTCCCAGGGGGGCCATAGACGGGCTCGTGGGCATCACTGTTCAGAGGGCACCTGACCAGCCCTGATGGGCAGCTGCCTGTGGCTGTCTTAGGAATGGTGCATGTTTGGAAAGTCTGTGCTCAAGGAAAGTTTATGCTAAAGACTGCTTTCTGGCCCAGTCAGGGGCAGCCTGCCCTGGACCTGGGAGATGCTGAGGCTTGGCAGTGAAGGCTGGAGCATGGTCAGGCTGGCCAACCAGAAGATCGCAGGCCAGGCACGTGATGGCCCGAGCGCCAGTCTCCTCACTTTAAAATGGAATAAAAGGACCAACAGCGGGGTCCTGCATGTGACAGGCCCGGCACGGTGGACGACCCACTGGATGCCACCATCGTCATCACCATCATCCATGTCAGTGCAGCCCCATTGTCCTTTGGAGAGACCCCTGGTGCGGGCTGGGTGGGCCGGTGGTTTTCTGCGGGTCCAGCCTGGCTCGCCTTTGGGATTCTTTGCGTCTTCTCCCCGAGGCTTTGTTGTCCACACGCCCTGCCTAGAGTTCAATTGCTTTTACTTTTTTATGGGGTTCCCATTTTTCATTTTTACATGAGATCAATCGATCCTTGGGGCTGTCTAGGTCATCCCTAGATTCTTAAGGGACATTTTAACATATGACAAGGTTTTATATTTTTATTTAGGAAAAAAGTCTTTGTTTTCCTCCCTGGGACTGGGGCTCTGTGGAGCCTGCTTTGCCCACGTCAGTCTGTGTTCTGCCCACTACTTGGTCTCTGGTCCCCGTCTGGCACCGTCCTGCCCCCTCCAGGAAACAATGGCCGCCCCTCTCTTCACTGTGACCCTGGGCCGTTAGGATTTCCCACGGGGCTGAGTCAGAGGTGGGAGCTGAGTGGAAGCAGCCCTGTGGACAGTGGATTTCCTGGCCCGGCTCTGTCAAGTCTGCGTTCCTTGTTGAGAATAAACTGTTTCTCGGACGTTCCTTCCTACAAACTGGTTCTTCATTCAGGGTGGGTGAGAGGGGCCACGTTCCTCTCCAAGTGAAGGGGCTCAAATTTAATCCAGCACACAGACACGTGGGATGGGGGTGGGTCAGTGTGGTCACCACCGCAAAATACCTGGGAGAAGTCAACTTACAGAGAGAAAGGGGTTTGGTTTTGTTTTCCTTTTCATGATTTTAGAGGTGCTGATCCATGATCAGGAGCACCACAGCTTTGTGGCTTGTGAGAAGGAGGCCACTTGACAGCAGTGTGCAGCGGAGCTGACCACCCAGGTCCAGCTCCAGGGAATACATAGCGTGCCCAGCCACGTACCTCTCTAAACCCCACTTCCTGAAGGTCCACCACATTCAGTAGTGCCACCCGGGGACCGAGCTCTACACATAGGCCTTTGGGGGATATTAAGGTCCAAATTAAGGCAGGGTCGGGGACACCACATCAGTCCTGCGTCCACTTTGCCCACAGAAAAATGGAGCTTAGCTTGGCAACTCACGCTCTTCCCACTTGGTCACACTTGACATCATCATCATCATTATTATCTACTTATAAAGACACGATCCATTCACCAGGAGGAAAATACAGAAAGTTCTCTACCCAGAGAAAAATGGTCTACCTGCCCCTTGTCCCCATGACCACCCGGGCCACAGGAGCTGACGCCCCTCCTACGCAGATGCTGGACTTCATGCCTCCTTGCCTTTCACGCCTTCTCTCTGTAGCGATGACTTCTGGCTCCGGCTCTGGGTGGACACGGTCCAGCATTCGTCTCCTGAAGGCCATCCGCTCTGTCCTGACCTCCCCGGATGAGACCTCTCGTGAACTCCTTGTGCCTTGGCCACAGAGTCCCTGGGCCCGACTGCTCCTCCCTGGTCCTCTTCCCTGTGCCTCCCTGCCTGGCTTTCAAGCCCCCCAGGTCCCGGTGCCATCTCCCTCCTTAACGCACCGCCCTGCCTGACGGTGCCCATCTCCTGAGAGGCCATCAGCAGTGCTTGAATGGATGTCCCGGGAGTCCATGTGACGCCCCATGGGGACGGCCAGCTATGGACGCCCTCCTGTCTCCTCCCTGCTCCACTGCCACCCCTGGGCTCTTCCTCTCCCAGCCTGAAATCATCTCAAAAAGGTTTTGAAGCAAAAGCTAGGCCTTCGCCACGCCACGGCTCCTCTACTCACCCCACGACAGCTTCCTCTTTCCAAGACCCAGATCACCGCTCTGCTTCCTAAAGACACAGAGGTGCACCTGGAGGGGAAACCTCCCCACCTCATCTGTGCAGAGGGGCGCCACCCTGTCTGTCAGTCCATCTGTGCAGACCAGCGTGGCTGACAGACGCCCCCCACAGGTGCAAAACCTGCAGCCAACCTTCCCTTCACAGGCAAAGCCAAGAGATCAAACCCAGTCACAGGAACTCGGCAGAGACCCACAGGGCCACCTGGCCTCTCGGCTGGATCCCGTGTTGAAAACCTGGAGGTCAGGCCAGCACGGTCAGCCATGGAGGACAATCAATAGCACAGGAGAAGGGTCCAGGGTGAGCCCAGACAGCAACCCCCCGCCAACAGAAGAGAACGTTAAAATATTAAATTCATAGCCTCAAAGGGATTGAAACAGATACTGCAGCCATAAAACAACAGGGCAAGCCACTCTGGAAAAAAGAGAAGAACAGGAAGGAGTTTCCTGGAAATTAAAAATTATGGCCAACATAAAGCCTCCATAAAACAGCTGGGGAGACAGTGGAAGGAATTTCACAGACTGGAGGGAAGAGCAGGGGCCAGGTCTGACCACCACTTCATGCTAGCCATGAGCGGTACTGAGCGCTGGTCTACACCCAGCTGTGCACACTCATTTCCCCGACCCCCGACAGGGCCAGTCAGGGTCCCCATTTCATAGAGGAGGAAACAGGGGATGAGATTGTGACGTGGCTGATGGAAGCCAGGGGACGGGCGAAGGTGGAGGGGACTGTTGGCAGGGCCCACAGCTCATTCCTCACAACGGGGAGGAGTCTGCAGGTGACGAAATAAGAAGGCTTATCCTCCTCGTCGTAGCCCAGGGTTGTATCTTAGTGTCGTTCGGTAGATGTCACGAAGTTAGGGGGCAGATCTAGATTCTGAGGGATTTTTGAGCATACATACTCTGGGGACCTTCTTTAAGGAACTCAAATATGGGTTGCAAGTTCAAAATTAGCTTCAGGGCCTCGGAAGGAGCCTGAGAAACTGAGGAGCTGGAGGCATACGTTGATCTCTGTTTATAGTCAGTTTACCTCCAACAAAGGCAGGCAAACCCAATCAAGAGAACCAGGGAGGCCCAGGAGGGGCCGTGTGGGCAGAGCAGACAGACCAGGGACAGAACAAGCGGATACCACCCAGAGCCACTCTGCACTTGCACACCCAGTCACAAACGCTCACAGACCTCACGTATAAGTTGGTTGGTGTCAGGATAAAGAGCGGCAGCCAGAGTCCAGCCCTGCTTCTGCAGGACACCCCGGGGGAGGGGCAGTGGCTCTGGGGCCGGACTTCTCTTTCCTTCACCCCATTCAGGGCTGTGTGAACTTTTTTATCATATTTTTCAAAAGTTTTTATAATCACAAGAGATGATGCTGGAGACGTAGGGACAGTGCCTCGTGCCCTCTGTCACCCCACACAGCAGACACATGTGGCGGGTGGGTGGGCTGAGCCAGGAACACTCAAAGCCCAGCACCCCGGCCTCCTGCACTACCCCCCTGGACTGCGCCAGGGGGACTGCTTACCGCCCAGGTCAGGGGCTTGCGCTGGCCCACTCCACACTGACCTCAGAGCAGCCCTGGTGGTACCCAGTCCTCAGCCCTTGGAACCTTCCAGCAGCTCTGGGTGCACAGCCCGTCACTCCATGCTTTGACGCTCAGGGCTCTGTCCCTGTGACCCTGCCCTGGAGCCTGCCCTGCAGAGCTGGGTAAGCCCTAGGACAACCCTTGCCACCCTCCAAGGCCGCAGCCAGTGCCCGAGCAGGGCAGGAGGACAGAAGCCCAGCACCTTGACCTCCGGCCACACAAACCCTGAGATGTCACCTCCCACTCCTCACAGTCAGCAGGCTGAAATGCCACCAAGACCACACGCTCCCTGGGCTCTCCCCGCACCCCTCAGGTCTCTCAGGCGTCTCTCCCCCACCCCGTCCTCCCGCACCTGCCTCAGCCTCCTGAGTTCGCAGAGTGCGCCGCCCTCCCGGCTTCTTGAATAGTTGCTTGCACTGAATCTTTAGCTCAGGACCTGCTCCTGGGGAAATCCGACCTACGGTGTGGACAGCACCCGGGAGTGCAGCAGTGAGCCGACGGCTTCAGTCCCCACCTGGTGAAACCCCTGGGGACCCATCACTACTGTCTGTGGATCGAGTGCATCCCACCCCCAGGCCCCAAAGAGGGCTGGGCTCCCTGAATTCTGGTGGCCTAAGCCCGGGCTGCTTCAGCCACCCTCTGGGGATGGTCTGAGTGTTTTCCGAAGGTCCAGGGTGGAAATTTAATTCTGAGTTATCAAGAGGGTGGAAGCTCAGTCCAGCTGTGGAGGGTCGAGGGACTTTGGAAGGTGGCTGGTGAGATGAGGTCCTCAGTGGAGCCCCTGGTTGAGCCCTGGCGACTCCATGGGAAGAGGGAGCACACACCTCTGTCCTTGCCACCTTGGGACTCCGCCAGCAAGGCCACCACCAGACCCAGCCTTGGCTCTCCCCTCCCCGAGCCAAAATGAATGTCCTTCCCTTAAAATGCTCCCCGTCCAAAGTATGAGGTGATGGGCAGCTCAGAGCAGACTGATGCCCACGGAGGGGCCTGCTCCCAAAGACACTGCCACCATCCCACGCAGCACTGGGGTCCACGCTGAAGGGCAGGCGGACAGCAAGCCCTGGAGTGGCCTCAGCAGCCTGGCCTCTGAGCCACTGCTGCTGGAAACAAGCCCATGGACACGTCACACAGCCCAGGCTGCAGGGCACAGCTGGTCCCACCCCACTGCCGTCTCTGAGGGTGGTCTCCTGGGGAAGGCGGCTGCTCTGCTGGCCCTGCCTTCTCAACGGTCTTCTGCTGCCATTGTTCTGGGTTTTATCCTCCCTGAGAAAATGGCTGAGCCCCCAGAGGCTGCAGGTCAAGCACCTGGATTAGAAGCAGAACTGCGGAGCGCGACCGAGTTCCTTATGACTAAATCACAAACATCACAGTGTGTCATTTGTCATCTCCCCGCTGCACTTTGGAATCGAGTCCCAGGAGGGTTCCATGAGATGCTATATGCTAAGCTCTTTAACCAAAGCCTGGGCTGAAAGAAACCCTCACAGCACCTCGCTCTGCCGCTGCGGCCGCTGCTGGGACCTGAGCTGCTCCTGCTGCTGCCCGTGTCGTGGCCAGAGACTGGTGCTGGCCAGCGGCTCCTGAGACTGGGACCTAGTCCTCCTCATTCAGGGACGAAGACAGAGGAGACCCAAGGAGACCCGTGTGACCTCCGCCTGGGGGCACGAGCCCACGCGGCCTTTAACGGTGGTATTTCCATCTCTGCCTGTCCCTCTCCTCTGTCTCTCCCAGGGAAGCCCCACCTCATCTCTAATCCACGGATTGCTCGCGCCCAGGAGGGTCCGGAGCTGGTTACTTTTTACTGACATCGACGAAGGCAGCTGGACTGCCAGCCCTCCAGGAGACAGCACATCGCTGTATGTGGTTTTTTGAGGGTAGATTAAGGCACAGTGGTCGTGCGTATTTATGGGGCGCAGCACGATGATTCAACACAGGTACACAATGTGCCACGAGGTGGACGGGCACTCGGCATTGCCATCCCCTTAAACATCTTCCCTTTCTTTGTGCTGGGGACCTCTGCTCTCCTGGTTCTTTATAAAAGAGGCCACGAAAGGTCGTGGAGTGTTATCACCCACCGTGCTGCAGAGCACACCTTGACATCCACACCAACCTGGTGTTGGGAACACAGTAGGTGCTCAATTAGTGTTTGTGAAGTAAGATCGGAGCTAAACACAGAGTGTCCTCATGGGGCTGAGGGTC